AGCGCAGATAGCCCTCGTGTAGCTTTGCGCGAAATTCCAAAACAAACAAACAAACTTCACAACAACTTTATTCTCTTTTGCTAGTGTCTGTCTGTCTGCTCCTTCCCGCTCGCCTCACGATATTTATATATTTATCACTTAATCGTCTGTCCGACTTCTATATTCTCGACGTCAATGAATTATTAACATAACTTCCCACAATCGTCTGTTTTTAACTCGTATTATAACAAAAACTAAACAATAATAAAATATGCACTCACAAAAATAAATTAATCACTAATATTTAAACAAAGTCTTTTATATCATGACAGACGTGAGCAACATAGTTGTTCAAATTCTACCCTTCTTTTAAATTACGCATGTAAAGCAATATCTTTTAGAAAATACAACTGCTGTATTTTTTGTTGCTGTTGTATTCATTATTTCATTTTAGCAACAGTGAATTTGTTTATGTACTAGTTTCAATTAAAAAATACTATTGCTTATAGTAGCTTTAGTTTAACTTGGGTCTTTCAGATTCAACTGCACACTAGCAGTGTGTTATTGTTAGTCACCTACTTACTGTTAGCTTTGAGTTTGATATTTGAGTCTTGTGATCGAAAATAGTCCAAAAATGGATTCTAATTACATGAGATAGTGTTTTAACTCGGTACGACAGAAAAATCTTAGCGATGTTGCGATTAGGACGCTAGGTACTCATATTACAAGCGCTCACTCCAGCGTTCGCTACTGCAATTAGCGTTCCTAATTTTGGAATTCATACCCTTAGCACTGAATAATGTCGAGATAAAAATTATTTTGAAGCAGATTTTACAATTTTGACAGTCAAACTTTGCAAAAGTGTACACACTGAACTTTCCTCTTTTCAGTACCAACGTTAAAAAAATATATAATACGTGTACCAAAATGTTTTTTGTTTTTCTCGTTCGAAAATATAACATTCGTTGTTCATGAAACTTGATATATTACCGCATAGAGCACCAGTATGTCTGGTGTAACCTAGCTGGCTTAATGAGACTTGGCCCATTGTATTGGTGAAAAACCTCATCGTCTCTGGATATGGCAAATTTGGTATGGTAGGCATATTAAAACATATTTCTTTTTTACATTCACTTAGTTTGTTAGAATTAGTAATATTGTAACTTGGTTTTATTTATGTTGTCCAGCATTTCCAACGGACTTCCTAAAGAGCCGGAGAGAGAGACAGTATTATTAACAGAAAATGTGAATCCTGTGAATAAAAGACAACAACGGAAAACTTTCAGGAAAATTCTTTTCATCAGCGTAGCATTTGCCGCTAACATAGGTGGAACTGCGACATTAACAAGTGCGGGGCCAAACCTTGTACTTAAATTTGTTGTTGAAGAGTGAGTATAGGCCGTACGATGTTTTTGTCTTATTGTTAGTTTTTATTTTCCTTTTTTAGGCCTTTTAGTTTTAGTAATTGTTTGTCTAGCGTTAAGGGTTGGTCATGAGTAGATCTAAAATGCATGGTATAAGTTTTCAAAGCTTTAGCAATGATTTGTGAGCATAAGCAAAAGCTACAACTTGTAGAAAGTAGGTCTGTACTATAGTTTGTAGTTGACTGGTTTAAACAAATAACAGAAAAATAACTGAGAAGTATTTTAATTAAATTCAAAAAGCCGAACTGTTTTATAATTATCTTATAAAGTTATTGTATGAGTAATATATATTATTCACAACTACATGAGACTGTTAACTACAGGCTTTATAAAACATCAGTTAGCCTTATGAAAGATACCATTAACTCCTTTTCACTCAATTGTGGCAGAAACTCGGAAGACTTATGTTATTACCGTCAGAGGCTGTATGAACAATGTCAGGTATATCGATAATTTGAAATAATCCGAAGCCGAGTTAAATAATTTAAATTTTAATAATTGAATTGTACCTTGGATTTAGTGTCTAGAAATATGCCGATGTTTTATATTATTTACGCTATTTGCCAACAAGATTGATTCACACCATTTTTGTTTTTGACACAAATATGTTTTAATATTTATACAACTGTACAAT